CGTACCTCTCTATAACAAGACCCAGCAGCAATATGAGTGACCGCTTTGATTTGATTTTTGATTTGCTTGTAGGCCGCTGGCACCCGCATTCAATGATGCTGAACATTTGGCACTGCTGCGAATAGTTTAGTCGCAAAGTGAAGAATCACGGGCAAAAAGGCCCAAAACTTCGAGATAGGTTCTGTTCAGCTTTAAGCAGCCCTGGGCGAGTTGTTTATTGAAATGTGGCATTTTTTCTTGGTGCACTTCCCTATGTCCAGCTATCCAACAAGATCAGGGTGGCGATGGTCAGTTCTTGAGCTTCGAACGGGCAGAAAGGTGAGAAATTGTCGCTTTTTGACCATTTGTGTCCACGTGTCACTTTCAACGTACCTCTCTATAACAAGACCCAGCTGCAATATGAGTGACCGCTTTGATTTGATTTTTGGTTTGCTTGTAGGCCGCTGGCACCCGCATTCAGTGACGCTGAACATTTGGCACTGCTGCGAATAGTTTAGTCGCAAAGTGAAGAATCACGGGCAAAAAGGCCCAAAACTTCGAGATAGGTTCTGTTCAGCTTTGAGCAGCCCTGGGCGAGTTGTTTATTGAAATGTGGCATTTTTTCTTGGTGCACTTCTCTATGTCCAGCTATACAACAAGATCAGGGTGGCGATGGTCAGTTCTTGAGCTTCGAACGGGCAGAAAGGTGAGAAATTGTCGCTTTTTGACCATTTGTGTCCACGTGTCACTTTCAACGTACCCCTCTATAACAAGACCCAGCTGCAATATGAGTGACCGCTTAGATTTGATTTTTGGTTTGCTTGTAGGCCGCTGGCACCCGCATTCAGTGACGCTGAACACTTGGCACTGCTGTTACGGAATTTCTCCCCACCCCTTTGCCTTCACACCACACAACCGTTCGTTGACTCATCTGTTGGCTCCAAGAATACTTTATCAAAATAAGAACTGATGGCGAAGAGAGCGGGGGAGAAAGACAACGAAATAATAAACAACCAACAGTAATAAACAGAGAAACGGCGAACACATCGAAACGACCAATGAGCGACCAGTACGTACGATACATGTGACTAGAACCAAGACAACAACATCGTGGACGAATCACACCACTCCCTCACACCCGAACTCGACTCGCACAGCGCATGCTCCACATAATCCACGCATGCGCGACAACTAGTTAGACAAACGCACTCACTCAGGCAGAAGCAGATCCACACTCTCTGACAACGCATATACTACATACACCACGTCATACACATCACACCCATATACTGCACACCCCGCATCACTCCCGTACAGACAGCAGACCATATTTGACACCGGACAAGACAAGACAACGAGACCAGGAACAACAACGGATGTAAATAATAAGCGAATCGAATTTCGTAACACAGCCTCCCCTAATGGGAGGAGTCGACCACGACTCCTTACAGAGAATAGGGATTACTATGGAGAGAATTATGGTGATTTATGAATTAGGGTTTATAAAATGTGTAGGTCGTCCTCCACCATGACCTCAATGAGAGGTGTCATGGTGGCCCGGTGTTTGCTTGTAGTTGGTCCGTCTTCTTGGTACCTTGTCCCTTCATGTCCGGTGATGTTGTAGATCATGCTGGCTGGGTCCCGGAATGCTCGAGCCCTCGGAATAGGAAAAGATAAGAGAGGCAGAGCATGGCAGTAATAATTTCATTAGCCTTAAGTAATTTTGCATTGTTTACTAGAAAGACGACTGCCGACCCTGGCAGAATGCGGAAAACAATAATTATTGTGCAAAAATGGTGGTCAAGGTACGGGAAGGCACGCATTGCCCCCCCCCCCCTGGATGTGTCGAATGCATCGTGGATAGTTATCATCATGGCGAAAAACTCATAATACCCGTTGTCATCCAGTACCAAAGCCGAGTGTAAAGAAATATCGGCCGAAACCCTCAATGCAAATGTATGTGTAAGTGTATGTATATCTACTTGTGTTTTCCTTTACTTGTGTCCATGCCTTCCGTGGAGCTTCTTGTTAGCGACACAACGCGTCCGTTGTCAGGTTCTCCAGAAGTGCACGCACTTTTCTGATGTCAGACAATCCTGTCGTCCCACGACGCTGTCGTCCCACGACATATATTCTTATCTTTTTTTTTTTTTTTTTTTTTTTTTCAACATTCGGCAATGTGGAGTTCTACACTGAACCTGGCAGCCGTCGATCCTCTGTCTGAGGCTGGATACGGAGTCTGAAACTGTACCAAGTCGTCCAAAAATTAACAATAAACTGTGCGATTGATCCGTCGTGAGCCCAACGTTCGTTCGACGTGGAGTACTATCTCTGCAGCCCACGTTTTTTTTTTTTTTTTTTTTTTTTTTTTTTTTTTAAGAATGGCTGGCTGCCTGCCTGCTGTATTCTGCTGGTTCTATGTTTTCTATGTCATACACTGCGCCGCCATAACATCTGAATGGACACGGCAGTAGGTGAAGCACGGTCTACCCCGTGAGACGGAGGGGAGGGCTATGCAAAGGAGAGGGCTATGTTACGAATTTGTATTATGACTATGATTTACAAGTGTGCACGCGAGTACGGTGTGGATACTCTACTGGACACTGACGGCATGACTCCACTCGACTTCGCCCCGTCCTACTCTGGTGGTACATGTTCGGAGCGGAGGGCTGTGTAACGGATTTCGTCTCGTATTGATTTAGTTTGTCCCGGGCCGTTGTCCGGAATGTAACCGAGCATAAAACCCAACTGGGCGGTGCGCACCCTCCCGACGCGGGCGTGATGCTGTGCTGGCCGGGGTAGGCTGATTCACGGTAAATGGTGCCGGCACCGATTCTTCTACTGGTGTGGATTGAGAAACAGGGGGAGCCGCCGGGGCTAATGTCACTGTCCCCCGGACGGGTTTAATCCTGTCTACATGTACCGAGGTCGACCGCATGTGTCGCGGTGAGGGGAGGGGACCCACCCGAGTTAGGTCAACTGTGGTACCCGTGATGCCCTTAATCTGCCAAGGTCCCGTCCAGTACCGATGTAATTTAGGAGAGACCCCTTTGGGGGGTGGGGCATGTAACCAGACATAAGAGTTAATGACATATACCGGCACTTTACACTTGCTGTCGTACACCGTTTTAGCAACTTTGTGTCTGTGGTTTAACCGTTGGCGGACCAAAAGAAAACATTCGGCGAGACGTAAGCGAAGATCGCGAACAAAGAGAGCAACGTTTGGTTCGTTATCCCGAGGGATAGGAAAAATAAGGTGCAGCGGAAGGCGGAGTTCGCGACCAAACATAAGAAACGCGGGTGTAAATCCTGTAACGTTGTGAACAGAAGAGTTGTAAGCCAATTGAACCAGAGGGAGAAATTCGTCCCACCGAGGGACATCGTTCAGGTGAGAGATAAAGGTTTTCAATGAGGCTTTGATAGTCCTGTTAGCTCTCTCTACTAGGCCGTCGCTCTGCGGTCGGTAGGGAGTGGTTTTCGTCTTTTTGATGTTTAACAATGTACATAGGTCCCGAATCAGAGCATTTTCGAAGCTTAACCCCTGGTCTGTATGGATTGAGTATGGGACGCCAAGGACACACACCAATTTATTGATAAGAGCACGGGCCACGGTACCGCTGGTCTGGTCGGGTATACCAATGATTGTGAGCCACTTCGTAAAATAATCTCCGATGACAAGTACATATTGATTTCCGCTTTTAGAAAGTGGGAATGGGCCCATAATGTCCATAGCAATAACCTCTAGAGGGAAACCCACTTTAATGGTGCCAAGTGGCGCTTTGTTCTTTCGAGTTGGAAACTTGGAAACTTCGCATTCTGGACAAATTTCGCAAAAAAGGCGTACCTCGGTTGATAAGCCAGGCCAGTAAAAGAAATCGCGGAGACGTTGTAGAGTACGTTCTGTGCCAAAGTGACCCGCCGTAGGATTTGCGTGAGCGAGTTCTAGCACCATGGGTCTCAGGGCGGTGGGCACAATTAATTGGCGGCCCGAACGACCGGGTAGCTGACGATAGAGAGTGTGATTCTCGACTGCAAGAGACGACGCCTGGTTGAGAAGAACTTTAACGGGATAGGGGTCCCCTGGTAACGCCTCCTCTTGAGCCTGCAGTCTTTCTATCACTAGGTTTAGGTGTGGGTCTGTTTGTGTGTTTTGTTTGACCTGTGCTGGATCGACTGTGGTAATAAAATTAACCGTTGCTGGACTAGATGGCGGATCGTCGGCGCGAGAGAGACCGTCGGCGTTTAGGTGGCGGGCCCCCGGGCGGTGTTCGATAGCAAAATTAAACTCAGCCAGTATTTGCTGCCAACGTGCAAGTTGTCCGGACGGGTCTTTAAACGAGAGCAGCCATTTCAAACTACTATGGTCTGTACGCAGCAAAAATGGTTGAGAAATCAGGTATACTTTAAAGTGGGGTAAAGCCCACACCACTGCCAACAGCTCCCGTCTAGTGACGGAGTAGTTTCGTTCAGCCGGGTTAAGACTGCGGCTGGCGAATGCAATAGGATGTTCTTTACCATCGGGCCCCACTTGGGACAAAACCGCACCCAGGCCTGTATTGGATGCATCCGTGTCAATGAGGAAAGGTTGAGTAAAATCCGGAAATGCCAATACCGGTGCTTTTGTGAGGGCGTTGCAGAGTGTCTGAAAAGCAGTGTCTTGAGGGCCGGACCAGTGGAATGTGGCATCTTTTTTGCAAAGAGAATTGAGTGGCGCCGCAATGGAACTAAAGTTGGGAACAAAACGGCGGTAGTAACCGGCGAATCCTAGAAAAGTTTGCAGAGCCGTAAGCGTCGTTGGTGTCTTCCAGTTCATGACAGCCTCAATTTTGCGGGGATCAGCATGTAAGCCAGACTTAGAAACGACGAACCCTAGGAAGGCGACCTCTTGTTTAAGGAACTGGCACTTAGATGGTTTCACTTTTAGACCTGCCGTCTGTAAGGCACTCAAGACCGTCTCTAGTTGCGCGATGTGATCCGAAAAAGACTTCGAAAAAATGATGATATCGGCCAAATATACGAGGCAGAAAATGGGCGACAACCCCCGTAAGACCGCATTCATTAACCTTTGAAACGTGGCTGGGGCGTTTGATAACCCGAACGGCATGCGAGTGAACTGATAAAGTCCGTGTGGCGTTACAAATGCTGACTTGTGTTTGTCCTCTGGATTAAGGGGAACTTGCCAATACCCCGATTGTAGGTCTAGGGTGGAAAAGAATTCTGCCCCCCCCCCCCAAGGTGATCCATGGTGGCATCAATATTAGGTAAAGGAAAAGCGTCCGCGGTGGTTAATTTGTTAAGTTTCCGATAATCCACACAAAAACGAAAAGAGTCATCAGGTTTTCGAACTAAGACAATGGGACTGGCCCATGGTGACATGCTTGGTTCCACTACACCTGTGTTGAGCATATCTGTAACCAGCGTCTGTACGATTTCTGCCCGTTTGGGATCTAATCTGCGGGGAGCTTGCTTGATGGGTGGTGTGTGTCCCGTGGGTATGCTGTGTGCAGTAACCGTGGTGGACCCCAGGTCTGACGACGATGTCGCCCAAACATTCTTAAACTTGCGAATTGTATTAAATAACGTACGTTTTTGCAGATCGGTGCCCAGGAAATCAGACCAGTCGAGAAGATCGGTAGCGTCCCCCAGGGTGTCGGCGTCGACCCGTGCAACCGGAGCTGGCCCTGCGGAGGAAAGACGGTGGATAACACCCAGCGGTGTTCCACTCGGCAGAGACAGAAAGGCAGCGGAGAAGTTAGAGGTAGTGAGGAGAAGTCGTTTCTTATTACTAGAACAAACACAGGCAGGAATAACCCCTTCCAGTGCTGGCAAAGGTTGAAAGAGAAATTCCTCCTGGTCCGACCATCCCAATGGAAGATCTAGATACACAACCCGGACTGACCATGGGGGCACAGAGAGCAACGAGGAGGAACAAAGAGTAGTGAATTCCGGAGGTTGGCCCTGCGGGTCGGGTCGGTGGTTACCACACTGAGGCCACAGTTGGGGACAACCCCATGTCCCTTTGAGGGTAAACGCCGCTATGAACAGACTGCCCAGGACAACCTGGAAAAGGGAGGTGATGGCGTGGAGACGTGGGAGGGAAAACCAAGTACCAATCCCATCCAAAATGCTTAACCCCAGGATAGCGAGTAAGCCTAAGAGAAACACGACCCCAGACCAAGTATGTTGAAACCAAGAGGTGGAGCCGATACTTGCAGTGTAACGAGAAGACAAGATCGGGGTGGATTCTGGCCCCATGACAAGAGTGGGCGACGGATCCATAGAAATAGATATCTTATGTTTCCTCAACAGATCAGCGCCTAGTAGGCATGATTCTCGTAAATCGTCAACTACGATCACTGGTCCCTCAAACCGGAGAGACCCCAGCTGAAACATCCCAGTCACCACTCCTAAAGAAGTTATTGATGTACCATTAGCACTATACAAGGCCCCAACGCCAATGGAGCTAGTGGGACGCAAAGATGATCGAACATGGGAGGGTACAACAGAGGAATCGATTAATGTGACACTAGCCCCCGAATCTACCAGGACCGTCAGTGGAACAGTGGTATCGGCAAAAGTGATCTTACCGGAGCAATACATGGCCGTGCTGACCGGGCAAACCCCAGCCGTCGTTACGGTGGCGGTTGGATCGGGCTCGTTGGAAGGAGGCAGGGCCGTATACTCCGGTGCACGGTCGAGCGGGACCCCTGGGGAGGAAAGAACGGAAGAGGAAAACGCAACAGCCTGAGGTACGGTACAAACATGTGCATCATCTGACCCTTGAATAAGAGTGTTCTCGGCAACGGGCGGGTCTAACGCTGCCGGGGCCCGTTTAAATGTTGGCCCTGTGATGAGTAGCTGTGCGGAGGTTGAGGAGCAGATGAACCATACGCCTGTGAATTACGTTGTGACATTTCATATTTGAATTTCCTACAGTCTCGTTTGAAGTGACCCGTTATTCCACAATGAAAGCAAGCAGGAGGTCGTGGTGGTCTAGGTGGTTCAGCCCGTGTTAGGGTATGGACAGCGGCGGCCAAGTCAGCTACAGTGGCCTTCAAATCAGCTATCTCAGTTGAAGCGGGGGCAGCCACGTTCAGAACCCCTTGGCTTAGTTCTAAAGAAGATGCACTACTCCTAGCTTCGAGCACAACGGCCTTACGCACAGCGGCATCAATATTGACAGGCTCAAAATCGGCTACCCTATTGCCCAAGGTGGGTTCCAATGCATCCAAGAAAGCCCTAGTGGCAACAGCCCCCAACACATCACGAGAGGCCCCCGGAAAGGCACGGGCGGCTAAAATGGAGATGGCATCACCCAGTTCTGGAATCGACTCACCGGGTGTCCTTCGTCTGGCCTGGAGCTCCGCTTGGCGTACTGCCTCCTTTCCTTTATCTCCGAAGCGGGCCACTAAGGCTGCTCGCAGCTTGACAGGATCGTCACGGTCTTCGTCCGATAAGGATTCAAGGACAAGAGCCGCCGGTCCCTGTAGTCCGCGTTGTAGCAGAAAGATACGCATTTGGTCGAGTCTAGTTCGGTTAGGGTCTGCTTCTCCCTCGGCTGGAGGGGCGACGTAGCCGTTGGTCTTCAAGCAGGAATCATAATCTCGCAGGTAAGCCGCCAGGCTTTCCTCGGGGCGGCCATGGAACGGGCGTGGAAGCAACCATCTGCCAGGCTCCGTCATGATGACGAACTAAGTGGGAGGAAGGAGAAGCAAAGGAAACGGCAAACGCAAAGAGACTCCCCAAGGCCAAGCCTTGGTCAAAAAGAAGAAACCAAAGAAATCGCGGCGGCGATCAAAAAGCAAAGAAACAACGCGAAGAGAAAAAAAAACAGGACGAGGCAAGCAAGGCACACTTACGAGAGGAGTAGTTCCGTCCCTTTGGTAGGTCGCTCGTAGTAAGTTGTGGAACTCGAGTCCACGTCGGGCGCCACTGTTACGGAATTTCTCCCCACCCCTTTGCCTTCACACCACACAACCGTTCGTTGACTCATCTGTTGGCTCCAAGAATACTTTATCAAAATAAGAACTGATGGCGAAGAGAGCGGGGGAGAAAGACAACGAAATAATAAACAACCAACAGTAATAAACAGAGAAACGGCGAACACATCGAAACGACCAATGAGCGACCAGTACGTACGATACATGTGACTAGAACCAAGACAACAACATCGTGGACGAATCACACCACTCCCTCACACCCGAACTCGACTCGCACAGCGCATGCTCCACATAATCCACGCATGCGCGACAACTAGTTAGATAAACGCACTCACTCAGGCAGAAGCAGATCCACACTCTCTGACAACGCATATACTACATACACCACGTCATACACATCACACCCATATACTGCACACCCCGCATCACTCCCGTACAGACAGCAGACCATATTTGACACCGGACAAGACAAGACAACGAGACCAGGAACAACAACGGATGTAAATAATAAGCGAATCGAATTTCGTAACACTGCTGCGAATAGTTTAGTCGCAAAGTGAAGAATCACGGGCAAAAAGGCCCAAAACTTCGAGATAGGTTCTGTTCAGCTTTGAGCAGCCCTGGGCGAGTTGTTTATTGAAATGTGGCATTTTTTCTGGGTACACTTCCCTATGTCCAGAAATACAACAAGATCAGAGTGGCGATGGTCAGTTTTTGAGCTTCGAACGGGCAGAAAGGTGAGAAATTGTCGCTTTTTGACACTTTGTGTCCACGTTTCACTTTCAACGTACCTCTCTATAACAAGACCCAGCTGCAATATGAGTGACCGATTTGATTTGATTTTTGGTTTTCTTGTAGGCCGCTGGCACCCGCATTCAATGATGCTGAACATTTGGCACTGCTGCGAATAGTTTAGTCGCAAAGTGAAGAATCACAGGCAAAAAGGCCCAAAACTTCGAGATAGGTTCTGTTCAGCTTTGAGCAGCCCTGGGCGAGTTGTTTATTGAAATGTGGCATTTTTTCTTGGTGCACTTCCCTATGTCCAGCTATACAACAAGATCAGGGTGGCGATGGTCAGTTCTTGAGCTTCGAACGGGCAGAAAGGTGAGAAATTGTCGCTTTTTGACCATTTGTGTCCACGTGTCACTTTCAACGTACCTCTCTATAACAAGACCCAGCTGCAATATGAGTGACCGCTTTGATTTGATTTTTGGTTTGCTTGTAGGCCGCTGGCACCCGCATTCAGTGACGCGGAACATTTGGCACTGCTACGAATAGTTTAGTCGCAAAGTGAAGAATCACGGGCAAAAGGCCCAAAACTTAGAGATAGGTTCTGTTCAGCTTTGAGCAACCCTGGGCGAGTTGTTTATTGAAATGTGGCATATTTTCTTGGTCCACATACCTATGTCCAGCTATACAACAAGATCAGGGTGGCGATTGTCAGTTCTTGAGCTTCGAACGGGCAGAAAGGTGAGAAATTGTCGCTTTTTGACCATTTGTGTCCACGTGTCACTTTCAACGTACCTCTCTATAACAAGACCCAGCTGCAATATGAGTGACCGCTTTGATTTGATTTTTGGTTTGCTTGTAGGCCGCTGGCACCCGCATTCAGTGACGCTGAACATTACGCACTGCTGCGAATAGTTTAGTCGCAAAGTGAAGAATCACGGGCAAAAAGGCCCAAAACTTCGAGATAGGTTCTGTTCAGCTTTGAGCAGCCCTGGGCGAGTTGTTTATTGAAATGTGGCATTTTTTCTTGGTGCACTTCTCTATGTCCACCTATACAACAAGATCAGGGTGGCGATGGTCAGTTCTTGAGCTTCGAACGGGCAGAAAGGTGAGAAATTGTCGCTTTTTGACCATTTGTGTCCACGTGTCACTTTCAACGTACCTCTCTATAACAAGACCCAGCTGCAATATGAGTGACCGCTTTGATTTGATTTTTGGTTTGCTTGTAGGCCGCTGGCACCCGGATTCCGTGACGCTGAACATTTGGCACTGCTGCGAATAGTTTAGTCGCAAAGTGAAGAATCACGGGCAAAAAGGCCCAAAACTTCGAGATAGGTTCTGTTCAGCTTTGAGCAGCCCTGGGCGAGTTGTTTATTGAAATATGGCATTTTTTCTTGGTGCACTTCTATATGTCCAGCTATACAACAAGATCAGGGTGGCGATGGTCAGTTCTTGAGCTTCGAACGGGCAGAAAGGTGAGAAATTGTCGCTTTTTGACCATTTGTGTCCACGTGTCACTTTCAACGTACCTCTCTATAACAAGACCCAGCAGCAATATGAGTGACCGCTTTGATTTGATTTTTGGTTTGCTTGTAGGCCGCTGGCACCCGCATTCAATGATGCTGAACATTTGGCACTGCTACGAATAGTTTAGTCGAAAAGTGAAGAATCACGGGCAAAAAGGCCCAAAACTTCGAGATAGGTTCTGTTCAGCTTTGAGCAGCCCTGGGCGAGTTGTTTATTGAAATATGGCATTTTTTCTTGGTACACTTCCCTATGTCCAGGAATACAACAAGATCAGGGTGGCGATGGTCAGTTCTTGAGCTTCGAACGGGCAGAAAGGTGAGAAATTGTCGCTTTTTGACCATTTGTGTCCACGTGTCACTTTCAACGTACCCCTCTATAACAAGACCCAGCTGCAATATGAGTGACCGCTTTGATTTGATTTTTGGTTTGCTTGTAGGCCGCTGGCACCCGCATTCAGTGACGCTGAACATTTGGCACTGCTGAGAATAGTTTAGTCGCAAAGTGAAGAATCACGGGCAAAAAGGCCCAAAACTTCGAGATAGGTTCTGTTCAGCTTTGAGCAGCCCTGGGCGAGTTGTTTATTGAAATGTGACATTTTTCCTTGGTGCACTTCCCTATGTCCAGTTATACAACAAGATCAGGGTGGCGATGGTCAGTTCTTGAGCTTCGAACGGGCAGAAAGGTGAGAAATTGTCGCTTTTTGACCATTTGTGTCCACGCGTCACTTTCAACGTACCTCTCTATAACAAGAGCCAGCAGCAATATGAGTGACCGCTTTGATTTGATTTTTGGTTTGCTTGTAGGCCGCTGGCACCCGCATTCAGTGACGCTGAACATTTGGCAATGCTGCGAATAGTTTAGTCGCAAAGTGAAGAATCACGGGCAAAAAGGCCCAAAACTTCGAGATAGGTTCTGTTCAGCTTTGAGCAGCACTGGGCGAGTTGTTTATTGAAATGTGGCATTTTTTCTGGGTACACTTCCCTATGTCCAGAAATACAACAAGATCAGAGTGGCGATGGTCAGTTTTTGAGCTTCGAACGGGCAGAAAGGTGAGAAATTGTCGCTTTTTGACCATTTGTGTCCACGTGTCACTTTCAACGTACCTCTCTATAACAAGACCCAGCTGCAATATGAGTGACCGCTTTGATTTGATTTTTGGTTTGCTTGTAGGCCGCTGGCACCCTGATTCCTTGACGCTGAACATTTGGCACTGCTACGAATAGTTTAGTCTAAAAGTGAAGAATCACGGGCAAAAGGACCAAAACTTCGAGATAGGTTCTGTTCAGCTTTGAGCAGCCCTGGGCGAGTTGTTTATTGAAATATGGCATTTTTTCTTGGTACACTTCCCTATGTCCAGGAATACAACAAGATCAGGGTGGCGATGGTCAGTTCTTGAGCTTCGAACGGGCAGAAAGGTGAGAAATTGTCGCTTTTTGACCATTTGTGTCCACGTGTCACTTTCAACGTACCTCTCTATAACAAGACCCAGCAGCAATATGAGTGACCGCTTTGATTTGATTTTTGGTTTGCTTGTAGGCCGCTGGCACCCGCATTCAATGATGCTGAACATTTGGCACTGCTGCGAATAGTTTAGTCGCAAAGTGAAGAATCACGGGCAAAAAGGCCCAAAACTTCGAGATAGGTTCTGTTCAGCTTTGAGCAGCCCTGGGCGAGTTGTTTATTGAAATGTGGCATTTTTTCTTGGTGCACTTCCCTATGTCCAGCTATCCAACAAGATCAGGGTGGCGATGGTCAGTTCTTGAGCTTCGAACGGGCAGAAAGGTGAGAAATTGTCGCTTTTTGACCATTTGTGTCCACGTGTCACTTTCAACGTACCTCTCTATAACAAGACCCAGCTGCAATATGAGTGACCGCTTTGATTTGATTTTTGGTTTGCTTGTAGGCCGCTGGCACCCGCATTCAGTGACGCTGAACATTTGGCACTGCTGCGAATAGTTTAGTCGCAAAGTGAAGAATCACGGGCAAAAAGGCCCAAAACTTCGAGATAGGTTCTGTTCAGCTTTGAGCAGCCCTGGGCGAGTTGTTTATTGAAATGTGGCATTTTTTCTTGGTGCACTTCTCTATGTCCAGCTATACAACAAGATCAGGGTGGCGATGGTCAGTTCTTGAGCTTCGAACGGGCAGAAAGGTGAGAAATTGTCGCTTTTTGACCATTTGTGTCCACGTGTCACTTTCAACGTACCTCTCTATAACAAGACCCAGCTGCAATATGAGTGACCGCTTTGATTTGATTTTTGGTTTGCTTGTAGGCCGCTGGCACCCGCATTCAGTGACGCTGAACATTTGGCACTGCTGCGAATAGTTTAGTCGCAAAGTGAAGAATCACGGGCAAAAAGGCCCAAAACTTCGAGATAGGTTCTGTTCAGCTTTGAGCAGCCCTGGGCGAGTTGTTTATTGAAATGTGGCATTTTTTCTTGGTGCACTTCTCTATGTCCAGTTATACAACAAGATCAGGGTGGCGATGGTCAGTTCTTGAGCTTCGAACGGGCAGAAAGGTGAGAAATTGTCGCTTTTTGACCATTTGTGTCCACGTGTCACTTTCAACGTACCTCTCTATAACAAGACCCAGCTGCAATATGAGTGACCGCTTTGATTTGATTTTTGGTTTGCTTGTAGGCCGCTGGCACCCGCATTCA